TGAGGGGCTGCTCATCCCTGTCCACAGGACCAGGCTAGCCAGCCCCTCCACAGCACACAAGCTCCGGAGAAAATGTATAGAAAGAGCGTGCCCGCGCTCCACAAAGCCTCCTTTGTGATGCGCCTAGGGGCCACGTTGACGCGATGCTCTGCTGCCCCCTAGCGAAGCCTGGGGAGGCACCCCCGCAGGGTCCAGTTAGTTCAGTCGCTCAGTCATGTCGACTCTGCAACCCCATGGACTGCAGCACGCCAGGCTTCCCTGTCCATTACCAACTCCCAGAGCCTACTCAAGCTCATGTTCATCGCATCGGTGATGCCATCCAAACATCTCATCCTCTGTCGTCCTCTTCTCCTCGCGCCTTCAATCTATCCCAGCATCAGGGTCTTTTCCAGGGTCTTGGCCACCTGAGGGTTCTTTGCATCAGGTGGCCAAAGTATTGGAGTTTCAGTTTCAGCATCAGTCCTTCCAATGAATATGCAGGACTGATTTCCTTTAGGATGGATTGGTTGGATCTCACTGCAGTCCAAGGGACTCTCAAGAGTCTTCTCCAACACCACAGTTCAAAAGCATCAATTCTTTGGCACTCAGCTTTCTTTATAGTCCACCTCTCACATCCATACATAACTACTGGAAAAACCATAGCCTTGACTAGATGGACCTTTGTTGGCAAAGTAACATCTCTGCTTTTTAACATGCTGTCTAGGTTGGTCATAGCTTTTCTTCAAAGGAGCAAGCATCTTTTAATTTCATGGCTGCAGTCACCATCTGCAGTGATTTTGGAGCCCCCAAAAATAAAGTATCTCACTATTTCCATTGTTCCCTATGTATTTGCCATGAAGTGATGGGACCAGATGCCATGATCTTAGTTTTCTGAATGTTGAGTTTTAAGTCAACTTTTTCATTCTCCTCTTTCACTTTCATCAAGAGGCTCTTTAGTTCTTCTTCGCTTTCTGCCATAAGGGTGGTGTCATCTGCATATCTGAGGTTATTGATATTATCCCAGCAATCTTGATTCCAGCTTGTGCTTCATCCAGCCTGGTATTTCGCATGATGCACTCTGCATATAAGTTAAATAAGCAGAGTGACAATATACTGCCTTGACATACTCCTTTCCTGATTTGGAACAAGTCTGTTGTTCCATGTCCATTTCTAGGTCAGTTGCTTCTTGACCTATATACAGGTTTCTCAGGAGGCAGGTCAGGTGGTCTGGTATTTCCATCTCTTTAAGAATTTTCCACAGTTTGTTGTGATACACACAGTCAAAGGCTTTGGCGTAGTCAATAAAGCAAAAGTAGATATTTTTCTGGAACTCCCTTGCTTTCCTGATGATCCAGCAGATGTTGGCAATGTTATCTCTGGTACCTCTGTGTTTTCTAAATCCAGCTTGAACATCTGGAATTTAACGGTTCATGTACTGTTGAAGCCTGGCTTGGAGAATTTTGAACATTACTTTGCTAGCGTATGAGATTAGTGCAATTGTGTGGTAGTCTGAGCATTCTTTGGGATTGCCTTTCTTCAGGACTAAAATGAAAACTGACCTTTTCCAGTACTGTGGCCACTGCTGAGTTTTCCAGATTTGCTGGCATGTTAAGTGCAGCACTTTCACAGCATCATCTTTTAGGATTTGAAATAGCTCAACTGGAATGCCATCACCTCCACTGGCTTTGTTTATAGTGATGCTTCCTAAGGCCCACTTGACTTCACATTCCAGGATGTCTGGCTCTAGGTGAGTGATCACACCACCATGGTTATCTGGGTCATGAAGATCTTTTTTGTATAGTTCTGTGTATTCTTGCCACCTCTTCTTAATATCTTCTGATTCTGTTAGGTCCATACCATTTCTGTCCTTTATTATGCCCATCTTGCATGAAATGTTCCCTTGGTATCTCTAATTTTCTTCAAGAGATCTCTGGTCTTTCCCATTCTATTGCTTTCCTCTATTTCTTTGCATTGATCACTGAGGAAGGCTTTCCTATCTCTCCTCTCTATTCTTTGAAACTCTGCATTCAAATGGGTATATCTTTCCTTTTCTCCTTTGCCTTAGCTTCTCTTTTTTTCTCAGCTATTTGTAAGGCCTCGTCAGACAACCATTTTGCCTTTTTGCATTTCTTTTTCTTGGGGGTGGTCTTGGACTGCAGGGTCCAGCTGGCTTCTAAAATTCTCCGAATTTTAGATTTTCTGTATGCCTTCTCTCTACCCGTCCCTCAAACACAGGAGTCCCACTGCTCCCAAGGAAAAGGTGCAGTCTGGAAGTAGAGGACAGGCTTAAAACAGGGTGAAAAGGGGGAGGAGGACACAGAAGGACTCAGTTCCAGCCGTGGGAACAGGCAGCACCAGGGTCAATGTGAGGCTTGGGGCCCAGGTAGTGCATCTTGAATTTTCTCATGGAATAAATACGGGCTACACATATCGGCAACAAGGATGATGGTGGTGGAGCTGGTGGTTGCAGTGACTAATAATTATGGGCCCTACTGCTCATGTAGCTGTTGGTGATGGTCGTTCTGGTGATGATGGTGATGGGGTGATGGTGGTGGTGGTGGCAGCGGTGATGACAAAGATGGAGGTAGAAAAACTGGCAGTGGTGATGGAGGCGGTGGTTAATAGGGCTATAAAGCTACTAAGAACATTCTTGTATACATCTTTGGGTGGGAGCATGACTCATTTCTATTGGGCACAGATCTTGGAGTGGAATTGCTGGGTCAGAGGACAGGCACGTGTTTAACTTTAGTATATGTTGCCCAACAGTTTTCCAAAAAACAGTTGTTTTCACACTTTTACCTGTAACGTATAAATTCTTGGTGCTCCGCATCCCGACACTTAGTATTGTCTGTTTCGTTCACTAATGTATCTCAAATGCCTGGAAGCCTGGTGCATAGACGAGGCTTAATACAAATTTGCTGAATGAATGCTCAACATGAGGGTAGCAGACGTCCACTTTCAGCATTAGAGACCAGAACCAGAACTGTGCTCCTGCTTCTGGACACCCAGTGATGACCACATCCAGATCCAGGTTGGGCTCATCACACGCCAGCGTGCACAGGCCCTTAGTCTAGGCACTTTGCTCAAAATCCCTTCAGTGTGGCTCCCCTCACCCTAGTTTGAGGAGGAACAGCAGTCTGATCATACCAACACACACTAAGATGTGAGTGACTGAGTCCTTAACAGTTTAAAAAGCATTTAAAGGAGCAACTTGTTCACTTGCTGGGTTTACAATTGAAAAGGGCAACCTGCTGGAGCAGAAAGTTCAGGCCAGGACTTAAAAGTTCCAAGTTCTCGGTTAAACTCTCTCAGATCAGCCATTTACAGCTGCTTTCTCCTTAGACAACTTCCCCTGCCTACCTCTACCTTCCTGTTGTTGTTTTTTTAATTTGAAAACCGAGGATGGTAATTCTTGTCCTGCCTACCTCAATTATTCAAAAAATTATAATAAATTAAGGAATTTCAGAGTAAAAAAGAACCTTAGAGCTCACCAGGGATTTGCTTTTAAATAATTCTTTACAATATAAGAATCACTTTCAGTTATGCTGGTTCATTGAAATCACGGAATGATAATCTCTTTTCATGGGTAGGAAACAGGTTGAAGGAGGAAATAACTTGCCCAGGGCTCTGCGGTTCATTAGTGGCAGAGCTGCTCATTGCTCTCTCTAATTCTCCCTACAGATCTAGCTAGTAGCCCTATAAATCCAGAAAGTCAACTGGCTCTGGCGTGCATGCCTCCAGTGTGTGGGAAACTCACTGCCACCCAAGATACACCATTTGCTATTTGGGTTGCTCTGATAGTCGGCTGTCATTTATGGTGTACAGATCATCTTGCATTGAGAGGGGGTGATGATTAGAACTTTCATTCTAATGTTTGCTTGAAGGAAGATGAATTAACAGAAATATCCAGAGAACAGGCAGAGACGGCTAGAATGGCAATAATTATAACAATCAATACCCATTGACGGTGTCACTTTCTTGTTGGTAACCCTTCACTGACTTCCTGATTCTCTGGGGAATGAGTCCAGATTCTTTAATGTGCCTTTCACAAGTGGGGCCCAGCTTCAAACCTCTCAGTGCCACACACATCTCCCCACCCTACCCTGGCCTTCCTGCAGGGTGTTCCTTCTGCCTGGAACATCCTCACCCACCACTCTCACCGTCCTGCTCCTACAGGCCTCCAAATCTACCCTCCCCCTAAACCCCAGCACTAACTTGAACTTACCTGTCTTCCCAGCAAGACTGTTTGCTCAGAAGGGGCAGGATCTGCATGGGATTCTTCCGTCCTGGTGCCCTGTATGGAGACTGGCACTGAGTGGGTGACTGCCCCACCTCAGCACATTCACAGACATCTCTGCTGCTCTCATCAGCCAGGCCAGGAGAGGGTTAAACTGCCCTGGCCTTGGAGAGGCAGGTGGCCCAAAGCTTAAACCAGATGCTTTGGAGCCTTAGTAGTCCGCTAAGCTCAGGAATCCAATCCAGCCGCATCTTCCTGGACCTGGGACCTGGGCCCCTCCCATTCCTCTAGACCCCTCTCCCCTCCCTGGGCTCAGCTGGAAGCAGCTGGAATTGCTGCGGAGGGGTGAGGTGGGAAGGAAGATTACAAAACAGAAGGAGTATGCGGAGAGAGTAGAAAGAGCCTGGTCCCATGCTTGCCGAGACTGTCTGTGTGGCCTGGGCTGAGCCCGTCCCAGTCCCGGCCTCGGTATCCCCATCTGTGCACAGAGGAGGTTGGTCTGGTGGTCCCTCCTGATGGGACTGGCCAAGGGCAAGAGATCCTCAGACTCCCGAACCCTCTAGCTCCAGACTTTCCCACCACGCAGGTGGGAGTTTGGGTAAATCTTTAACTAGCTAGCCCTGGGCAGGTCGAGCCTTTCCGGATGGATGATTGCCTGGGGAAGGGGGGCGATGAGGGTGGGGGATGTAAGTGTGTATAGCCAGTCCCAGTGTGAAGGGGGAGGGTACTGGGGAGGGAAAAGAGCCAGACTCGGGCGGAGCTAACTCTGTGTGCAAAGCAGGACATGGAGGAACGCGGGTCGCCCGACGGGTAAGTACAGGTTTAGGGAGGTTCAAGGAGACGCAGGGACACGGATGGTTAACTCGAGTTGCTGCCACAGGGACCCCGCGCGGAACCTGGAGCAGGGGCCGGAGGGGCCAGAAACGCCCATCCAGGTGGTGCTCAGGTAGGCGTAGGTGGGCTCGGAGGTCCGCGGCGAGGAAGGGACTGATGGAGATTTCAGGATGGACCATCCGCCCCCTCCCCGCCTCGTCCGACCACAGGGTGCGTCCCATGAGCGCTGCCGAGCTTCGTCGAGGGGAGCAGAGCGTGCTGCACTGCTCAGGGACTCGGACTCTGCAGGTGAGGACCTTCCCCACCCCAAAAAAACACCTTCGGGGAACAAGCCAGGTCCCTTCAGGTCAATTTCCCCCAGGCCCCGCCCTCCGCGAGGCGAGCTCCGCCCTCCCCAGGGTGCCCCGCCTTCTTCTCTGAGGCCCCCTTCCCCAGGTGAGCCCCCCGGGCGGGGGCCCGGAAGTGGCTTTCCGCTTCGGCGCGGTGCTGGACGGGGCGAGCACCCAAGATGACGTGTTCCGCGCGTGCGGCGTGCGGCGTCTGGGCGAGCTGGCGCTGCGCGGGTGAGTGAAACCGGGGGCCGCCCCGCCCGCGCACGGCCCCGCCCCCGCCGCCCCTCTGTCCCTTCTCCCACAAGCCCACCACGCACCAGCCTCGGTAGCCACACTCCTGCGCCCCGCAGCTTCTCCTGCACCGTCTTCACCTTCGGCCAGACCGGCTCCGGGAAGACCTACACCCTGACCGGACCTCCTCCCCAGGTGGGCCGAGCTCTAGCAAAGTCCCGGGGGTCAGGGATCGGTGGGCGAGCGAGCGAGAAGCCTTGGGGAGCGCAGACTCCCAGAGGGAAAGGAATTGGACGGGGCAGCCCAGCTCCGTTTATTTGCAGGCAAGGAAAGATCAGGGAAGGTAAAGGGTCTGGCCAATCCAGAGCACCTGGGTTCAGGTGTCCCCTTTACTCACTAGCTCTCAGGTTTTCCATCTGTGAAATGTAAGTGATAGCACTGACCGAGGGTATGGGAACTTGGCACAGTGCTCTGCTGCTGCTGCTGCTAAGTCGCTTCAGACGTGCCCGACTCTCTGCGACCCCATAGATGGCAGCCCACCAGGCTCCGCCCTCCCTGGGATTCTCCACTGGAGTGGGTTGCCATTTCCTTCTCCAATGCATGAAAGTGAAATCGCTCAGTCGTGTCTGACTCTTAGGGACCCCATGGACTGCAGCCCACCAGGCTCCTCCGTCCATGGGATTTTCCAGGCAAGAGTAGGGGAGTGGGGTGCCATTGCCTTCTCCGGGCACAGTGCTCTACAAAGAGTAATTATAACGGTGGTGGTGATGGTGGTAGCCCAGCCCCAGGCTTGGCTGTTTCTGCTCCCAGGGAGAGGGGGTGCCTGTGCCCCCCAGCCTGGCTGGCATCGTGCAGAGGACCTTCACCTGGCTGTTAGACCGCGTCCAGCACATGGATGTTCCTGTCACTCTCCAGGCTTCTTACCTGGAGATCTACAATGAGCAGGTGGGGGCCTGGGATGGCTAGAAAGACAGCCCATAAGGAAAGGGAGGCATTTCTTTCCAAGGAAACTGGAAATAGAATAGGTGGGGTGGGGGGGTGGCTGTTGACCCTAAGGTCTGAGGGTGGATGGAACAAGGACTCAGGCCCCTCCCTCACCCTCCACCCTCCTCTCTCAGATTCGGGACTTGCTGAGTCTGGGGGCTCCCCGGCCCCTCCCTGTTCGCTGGAACAAGACCCGGGGCTTCTACGTGGAGCAGCTGCGGGTGGTGGAGTTTGGGAGCCTGGGGACCCTCATGGAACTTCTGCAAATGGGTGCGTGCTACTTCAAGCTGCTTTGGGATACATGGGACGCTAGTATTTTACCTGTTCACTTAGTGCTCTCAGGGTCGCAGGAGCTATGGGTTCAGAGATGACCCTTGTGGGAGAAAAGGGCCAGCAGACCAACAATTCAGACACAAACCAAGGGTGCCCCCCACTCCTACCCCTCAGGCCTACTGATACTGCCTTCCAGACTCTTCCTACCCTTCTCTGCAGCACTAGGCTTCTGCCTCGGTCAAGCCTCAATTTTACCTCCTGGAGGGATCTCCCCCTTTAAGTGCATGCTTCTGCATCAAACAAAGCAAACCACATCCCTATCCCTTTCCAGAACCCTGAGAGTAAAAGTCATACTTCTTGCATACTCAGTAGCTAAGTTATGTCCAACTCTTTGCAACCCCATGGACTGTAGCCCTCTAGGCTCCTCTGTCCATGGGATTATCCCCGCAAGAATATTTCCTCTTCCAAGGGATCTTCCCGACCCAGAGGTCAAACCCGTGAATCCTGCATTGGCAGGTGGATTCTTTACCATGGAGCCACCTGGGAAGCCCTGGCCTAAAGGCTCTTCTGTTTGGGTCTCACCCATCCATTCATCAGCTATTTATTGAGCACCGGCTGTGGCCAGTCTCAGGGTTCCAACCGAGCATTGTGCCACGCCTCCCAGTTGATCTCTCTGCCTGAGTTTCTCTCTGTTCACACAGCAGTGTGAGAGATGTTGATATTAGTAAAATGTGAATCAGACTGACATTCTTCCCCTCAGTTCTCTCCAGTCCCCTTTTACCTGTTCAGGGGTAAAAGGTAAAGGGTAAAAGGTGTTCAATTCAACACCCATCATTCCACTCCTGCCGCTGTGCCTTTCCACCAGCTGGCCCCTCTATCAGGATGTCTTCTTCACTCCTTTTTTATTCATCGGTGACCACTTGCTCTTCCTACCACATCCAACTCTAGGATGTTTTTCCTCTCTAGGTCTTAGCCGTCGAAGGAGTTCTGCTCACACCCTGAACCAGGCCTCCAGCCGAAGCCATGCCCTGCTCACACTCTACATCAGCCACCAAACTGTGAGTGCCCCAGCTTGGAAAGGAGTGGCCCAGGGCCACCCAGCAAGGGTCTGCCTCTGGATGAATAAACCAACTTGGGCTTGCATGGGAGGTTATGGTGGAAACCCTTGGCCCTGTGACTTTGATGACGACAGCCCCTCCCAAGTCCCCATGGAGCCCTGATCCTCCAACTCCAGCAGATGCCTCCTGTGGACCCCGGGGAACCCCCTGCCGGGGGGAAGCTGTGCTTTGTAGACCTGGCCGGCAGTGAGAAGGTGGCGGCCACAGGATCCCGTGGGGAGCTGATGCTTGAGGCCAACAGCATCAACCGCAGCCTTCTGGCCCTGGGTGAGATCTGAGTGGACTGACTGCCTGAGTCCTTCCTCTCTGCCTTACCCACAGCCATCCACAGTGGGGAAACCAGGGGAGTAACTGGGAATGGAGGCGAGTTAAAGAGCTGTGATCCAGAAGCCACAGGCCTCCCTGGGGCCTCAGCTTACTGGTGTCTCATGCTTTCCCTCATAGAGAACTTTGTGGATCTACAAACGCTGAGGATACAGTTGCATTCTAATTGGGGAGGCAGAAACACTTAATGCAGGGTGTGAGCCCTCAGGCATTCAGCCTGACCCTTGTTGCATTTGGGAAGACTGAGGCCCAGGGAGGAGAAGGCCACTAACCTGTCTTCCCATCTCCCCACCCCCCAGGTCATTGGCCCTGAGGTCTTTAATAGCTAGGACCTACCTTGGCCTTCCTCTCTGCATGCGTGGGGAGATGTGTAGGAAACATCTCTTCATTCAGTCCATTTGCCAGATGTTTCCTAAGCCCCTCTGCCAGTGGGCATTAAGAATCAAGGTGGGAGCCCCAGTCTGGTGGCCAAGCAGTCTGAATGGGTAATGAGATCATGTGGAAAGAGGCACCCTAGAGACATACAAGCCTGGTGGAGACCTAGCTCTGCAGTGTCCCAGCTGGGTGGCCTTGGACATGGAGGGTGACCACGCTTTCCCCACCCAGGTCACTGCATCTCACTGCTGCTGGGCCCACAGCGGAAGCAGAGCCACATCCCCTTCCGAGACAGCAAACTCACCAAGCTGCTGGCGGATTCGCTGGGGGGTCATGGGGTCACCCTCATGGTATCCACGGGAGGCTGGCAGGGAGGGCTGGGTCCTGAGGGAGGGCTCCCAGAGGGGAGCACTCAGGGGCAGTCCTCCCCAGGTGGCCTGCGTGTCCCCCTCAGCCCAGTGCCTTCCTGAGACCCTCAGCACCCTGCGATATGCAAGCCGAGCTCAGCGGGTCACCACTCGGCCGCAGGCCCCCAGGGTGAGTGGGCAGAGCGGAGGGACAGGCGGGGAGGTGGTGGGCACCATCCGACGGCTGGAGCCTGAATCAGTGCCATGGTTGAAGTCTGCGACTGAGTCGGAGCAGGGATTAGGGTTGAAATCTTGATGACGGGGTTATGTTTGGGCAGGGTGGGGTCACAGTCAGGGCTCATGGTCAGGGTTAGGGTAGGTTTAGGCTTGGAGTTTGATTCAGGACATGCTTCAGGGTCTGGCCAACATCCCAGCTGCTATCATGACTAAGTCTGAGTTAAGTTGGAGTCTGATGTGGGGTCTTATTTGGGGTCAGAATCTGGACCAAGGTTTGGACAGAACTGAGTTTGGGGTTGGACAGGGAGCAGGGTGCAGTTTAGAGCAAGCCCTCCAGGGAGGCAGCTGAGGCCGCATGGCACTTTCCTGCCATTAGGACAAGGTGTGCCCTCCAAGTATATGTAACCTTGGACCAGGATTCAAAGTGGGCAAGTGGGGCCTGGGCTGGATTTTAGGCTCCACTGACTCCCCTACCCCAGACCCCCTTGTGCAGTGCGAAACCTGTGTAACCGTACACAGCAGCCCTGGGCCTCTTTCTCTGCAGTCCCCCAAGGCAAAGCCGCCCCAGCATTTGGAGACTGAGCTATTGCAGTTGCAGGAGGAGAACCGTCACCTGCGGTCCCAGCTGGGCCAAATGGACCCCAAGGGTATGAACTCCCTGGGGGGTGGGGGCAGGATGAGGATAGGCTCTGGGGCTCCTGGGGCTCCAGCTGCCTCCCTCTTCCCGCAGCCTCTGGACTCAGTGGGGCCCGGGTGGCCTGGGCTCAGCGGAACCTCTACGGGATGCTGCAGGAGTTCATGCTGGAGAATGAGAGGCTCAGGTAGACCCCCCTAGCCCAGACGCTGTGCCCTGCCCCTCACTGCGGGGCCCCCTCTGCCAAGACGCCCCCCCCGCCCTGCCCCCCTCCCCAGCTCTTCTTCTGTCCCCGCCTGCCTCCTGGGGCTCATACTATGCTGCAGTAAGGAGGAGATTACTGATGCTCCCGCCGGCCCTGCCACCCAGGAAAGAGAAGAGGCAGCTTCAAAGCACCCGGGACCTGGCCCACGGTGAGCAGCGCATCCTGGCCCAGCAGGTCCGCGAGCTGGAGCGGTGAGCGCAGCTGCCGGCTGGAGACCAGCCTTCAGGATGGAGGGCAGGTGGGAAAGGGGGTGGCTCGGCGAAACAGTCAGATCTGCCCTCTGGATCCAGACCCGGGGGCTCAGACCCCAGCTCTGCCACCAGCAGTGTGACCTTGGGTGAGTCTGTTAACTTCTCACCGCCTGGATTTTCTTTTCTGTAAAATGGAGACAATACAGTGCCTGCCTCCCAGGATTGTTCTAAAGACCAGATGGAGTGAATTCGTATGTAAAGATCTGAGAACAGTGCCTGGCATGTAATAAGGGCTCCACGAGTGTTTGTTAAATCAGGACTTGGGCGCCAGGCTGGTGGTAGCGTTGGGTGCTCCATGCAGACAGAGCCTACCTTCTTTCCAGGCGTCTCCTCTCTGCCTGCTACCTTCAGCAGCCAGGCCCTGGCCCAGCCCCACCGTGTCCCTGTGTGATGGTGCCACCTCTCCTGTGCCACGTGAGTCTCTGCCCAGCCCGGAGAAGGCAGGGGCAGGGACATCACGGAGCCCCTGACACGACCTCTTGCAGGCCCCGCCACCCCTTTGCCCCCGCTGCCAACTCTGCCCGCTGTGCTGTGCGCCGCTGGCCCACTGGGCCTGCCCACGGAGGGAACTCCACCTGCCCCAGGTAGGAAAGGCCGAGGTGGAAGGACAGAAGGCCGGGGAGAACTGGAGACCTGGATCTAGGGGTCTGTAGTCTGGAAGGCTCCAGAACTGCAGGGACTCCAGGGTCCTGGGCTGGGTCATGGCAGGAAGTGGCTGGCTTTATGTTCTCTCTGCCCAGGGTTTGAAATAGCTGTTAACCTCGCCTCTCCCTCCTCCCTGTTCTACCTTCTTTCGGGAACTTACTCTGCCATTGCCTTGTTCATTTAATTCACTTATGCATTACTCATTTATGCACTGAATGAATGAGTCAACGAATGCATTAACTTAATGAGTGAGTATTCCCTTATTCAGTAACTCTTCCCCTAAACTCCTTGCTGTGTGGCAGCCCCTGTTCTGGGCACTGAGGATTCACAGAGCGGACGTGGTTCCTGCCCTTGTGGAGTGCCTCGTCTCCAGAGAGGACTTCACAAGGGCCACCCACCACCCACAGAAAAAGGGACCCCCACCCTTTATGCTCACCGGGCATTCTTAGTGCCCCCTGGGGCAGGCCTGGCAGGGAGCGTGGTGTCACGATCAGCCCCGGGGAAGTGGGGCACAGACAGGGTGGAGATCACCCAGCCTGTGGACTCTGGTCTCTCCTGTAGATGTGCAGCTCTAAGGCCCCAGCTGATGGGCCCCCGTCCGCCCGGCCCCCACCCTGGGCACCTCCATGCTGCCCTAGCTCTGCCAAGTGCTCGAAGGAGAGGTGAGCCCAGCCCTGGGGCACTGGGGGTGGGGGAGAGGGAAAAGGCCTGGGAACCTGAAGGCTCACTTCCCACCACCCAACTTCCCCCTGGCCCAGGAGTCACAGTGAGTGGGCTCAAACCCAGGTTCTGGCTGAGATGCTGACTGAGGAGAAAGTGATGCCCTCTGCACCCCCCCTGCCCGTGGGGTCTCTGAACACATCGCCAGTGCTGAGAGGTGAAGAAGGGTGCGAGGGAAGGGCTGCCGGCGCTTTCTGTGATCTTGGGCCGGAACTCACCTCCAAACCTTAGTCTTCCCATTTCTGAAATAGGGGGCGGATTAAGTGGTGAGAGTTTCACGATCTTTCTACTTCTCAAACCTGGAATTCTCTTCTTGAAGCCACCTGCACTCCCAGATGTATCCCGGAGCCCGTGGTGTACATGGAGATGGAGTGGGTGGGGGGCCGTCTGAGACTTCCCCAGAGGATATTGGGACCCTGATGGGCCTGGGTGGGGCAGGGCCCAAGGGAGTGCTGGCCTCAAGCCTCACCGTGTGCCCTTTAGGTGGGGCTGCAGTTCCAAACCTGGCCCGGAGACTGGAGGCCCTCAGAGACCAGATCGGCACCTCCCTGCGACGTGGCCGGAGCCAGCCACCCCCTCCCTGAGGGCACACGGAGTCCTTGTCAGGTCCTTCCTGCCTGCTGCGGGCAGCGTGGGCACCCAGGAGACCATCCCGGGACCTTGGACTGGGCTCTGCACTCCTGGGTCTCAGTCTCTCCATCTGTTAAATGGGGTAGCAGCTGCTGCTCCAGCCTGCAGCTGGGCTGGGCAGAGACCAAGTCCTCAGGCCTGGGGGTGGGGGCTGATGGGGCAAACTGGGGACACAAAGGGTGGGTGCCACCCCAGACTCGGAGAAATGAGACTGGATTCAGGAGAAACCAGGCCATGGGTGATGAAATACATGAATAAAGAGAGACATCAGCTCCAAGTCCGGTTGGTCTTGTCTTCCGACTAGTCAGGCTCTGGCCCTTGGGGGAATCCCAGAGAGGAGGGGCTCTTAGTGGAGGGGTCCTGAGGAAGAGGAGATCAGGATTCCTGGCAGAGGTGACTGTCCCCTCCCCCTTCAGGGCAGGAATATTCCAGGTTCCCATTTCCTTTTATGTGTTGTTGTTCAGTCACTCAGTTGTGTCCGGCTCTTCGGGACCCCATGGTCTGCAGCATGCCAGGCTTCCCTATCCTTCACCATCTCCCGGAGTTTGCTCAAACTCATGTCCGTTGAGTCGATGATGCCATCCAACCATCTCATCCTCTGTCGCTCCCTTCTCCTCCTGCTTCTCCTTCTCCTCCTCCTCCTCTTTCCCAACATCAGGGTCTTTTCCAGTGACTCGGCTCTTCACTTCAGGTGGCCAAAATACTGGAACTTCAGCTTCAGCATCAGTCCTTGCAGTGAATATTCAGGGTTGAAGTCCCAGGAGGCGCAGCGTGTAGCATAAGTCCTCTTGGAAGAGGTTGTCATTAGCCCTACCCATAGAGCCACTGGGTGGGCCATCCACAAATTGGAGAACCATTTTATGTACTATACACATTTTAATTGAGCAACTACTGTGTACCACTGGGCAGGCAGGGGGAGAGGGAACGGCGAGCATCTCCATGAAGGAGGCCTGGGGGAGACTGCTTTGGCCTTGAGCTGGGGCAGGTGGTGGACTGAGGGGCTTGCACGCTCTGTGCCAGCTGCACGTATCCTGGTCCTGCGTCATAAGGCCTGACTTCTGAAGCTGCAGATTCAGAAGGCTCTGAGCCCCTGGGCAAGGCCCGCACCCTCCCAGGACCACTGCCTACTTTTCAGTCCTTTAGACGTGGCTCCCTGTCCTGTTGATCTCTAGTGAGGGCCAAGGAGATTAGGAATATCACAATTCCCGGCACATGCCCAGTAGGATGCCGTGGGTCCACAGTTAGAGGTAAGTTCAGATGTGACTTCTGAAATTAGGGATGTGAGCGGGAGGACCCCAATACAGAAGGAGTCACAAGGCTAACCTAACTCTCCCATTTTATAGTTAGGGAAACTGAGACCCCACGTGGCTCATCCTGTTGTTTGCTCATACATTCACTCACTCACTCAGTAAACCCCACTGGCATCAGCTGTAAGTCAGGGTGGCAAAGAAGACTGACACGGGTCAAGCTGGCTTTGTCCAGGGAGCTCAGAGTCTGGTGGGTGGCAGACAGGTAAACATTTCCAACCTCACACGCATGATTTGATGGGAGAAACCCAGAGCACTCGAGGCACATAGGGTCACCCAGTCAGAAATCGTCAGGGAAGGTTTGCCAAAGAGAGTCATGATTAAGGGTGAATGGCAGTTGGCCTTGGGCGGGTGGGGGTGAGAAGCAGCCTGCAGAGCCAAAGGTTCAGAACTCCAAAGGTTTCCAGGGCCATTCTAGAAGTGCGTGGCCTCGGCCACTCTGGGAGTTGGGATTTGTCCCAGGGGCAAAGGAGAACCACGGAAGGGTCTTGAGGAGCCACCGGCTTCGATGGGCGTTTAGCTCACGCTGGCCCCTGTGGCAGGTAGACCGACTGGTCAGGGTGAACTGGAGGAGGGAGACCGATGAGATGCCCGGTGTGGGGAGAGGTGAGAGACCTCAGCCAGCGGTACCTAAGCCCCGCTTGGGCTGGGCCGCCCCTGAGACCTGGGCACTGGACACTTAGCTCAGGCAAGACCCCAGGCAGGCCAGCCTCAGCCACGGGCTTGGGGAGCACTTGGGGAGAGGGACGCTGAGGCCAGAGGACAAGCTAGGGAGCCACTGGAGAGAATCAAGGGGACTGGGGTCGCCCTGGGGAGGGGTCACAGCCATCATCCGCCACAGTGTTCAGACCTGCCCATAGGTCTGGTCCGAGAAAAGTCAAGAAGATCAAGTCCGATTGCTCCCCCCCCACTCCCCAGCACAAGACCAAACAAGAGAAGACCCAGTACTCACTGAGCCTTCCCCGCTGCAGGGCTCCTGAGTGCTGAGGCTCTCTCGGGAGACCTTGTCCCTGAAGCTGGGTCTGGCAGGGTCAGCCCAGGCTGGAGCCCCCAGTGGCCAGGTATTGAAAGGCAAGACCTGTGATTGAGAAGAGAGGGGTTTGTAGGGTAGAGTCCACGGAGGCAGAACCCAGGGAGGTAGGGTGATGGCCATTCACCACGGGCACTGGGCCAGGCAGGGTGACTGGAGCTCAGTCCATAGATGGAATAACGCAAGTTCAAGTCTCAATGTCGTCACTTACCGTGAGTGATCCTGGGCAGGTGACCTAACTGCTTTGAGCCCAAGTCACCCCATCTGCAGAACAGATACAAGAATAGTAGCCCCTCACAGGTCAGTCATGGGGATTAAATCCACTGACACGTGGAAAGATTGCAGCACAAGGCTTTGTCTGTTGTGGACAATTTAGCCTAAAGCTGCTTTCAGTCAACATGACGATCTGATGGAATTGACAATCTGGTTCCAAAAAATTTTACTTAACAAATTGAGAACCCACTTTGGGCCAGCATTGAGAAGCCTTACTGTTAACAGTAAGGAGCATAAGGAGCCTTACTGTTAACACAGACAAGAAACAAGAAAATGGGCAAAAGACATGGGAAGTCAGATAGTGATAAAGGCTATGGAGCAAAAGAGAGGAGGGCGGTCCACGGGTCAGGGCGGGTGCAATTCTAAATAGGGGCGTTAAGAAAGGTCTCATGCAGGTGACATTTTTGTAGAGACATGAAGGGTGGAAGGAGGGTGAGCCTAATAATTGCCATAAAGCCGCTTTTTTCTACTCTAGGTAATTTTGATGCTGCATCAGCTTGTGTGGCTCGGCAGGTTTGAGCCTGGGCTCGTCCACGCCCCAGGTTCCTTATCTCACTTACTGTATGTGCCCCTGCTTGCTGGGAGGTCTCTAGCCTCAGGCGGAGGAGGCCCCTGGAACTGAGCATGAAAGCTTTCCTTGGCCGCCTTGGGAAGCACGGACAGGGACCACCCAGGGGGACCCTGGCCGTGGCCAGTTCATTCTTGTTTGGACAATTCCTTCTCCTGCTGGAGCCAGCCACGATTTTCAAGTTTCCTGGTTCCAGTTCAGCAAAATCCCTACTTACTTTCCCAGAGATAGATACAGGACTGAAAGCGATGAGTCCTCACTATCCCATGTCATATACCTTGTGTCTACCTCCCCTTCAGCATCCTTACTCAAGAACTGCAGCTTGTCCAGAATCCCTAAACCTGGAAGAAGTCCACAGGATCCCAGGATTGTCATCATTACTTGGAACTGTAGATCCCACAGGACACTTCTGACTTTCCCCAGAATGCTGGAATTGGGGGACGTTCTCTGGCCCCCATGACATAGGGTAGCAGTTCTCCAGAACTGTCAAACTTAGAAGAAAGTCTCTGATACATTAGAACTGGGACAGCTATTAGAAATCCTGAAGCGCTGTGGGAATTTCCCAGAATTCCAAATCCCTAGAAGAGTTCCTGGAAACTGTAAAACTGTGTAGCAGTTGGGAGGGGTTCTCTGGAATCTTTAGCTAAGCATGAGGATGTTTACCAGTGCTTGGAAGGCCATCCGTGAGTTTCTAGAATGCTGTCAAATCCAGAGATCAACCTAATGTCTAGACCCCTGATCCAGCTCTCCAGATCCTTGGGGACTCTAACTCTTAGCCAATGCAGAATGGGGAGCATGGTGAAAACATTATAGTAGGACAAGAGAAACTTCAGGAAGAGCACTCCTGTGCATGCTTGGGTTTAAGGTTATGAGGTTTCATCTCATTAACAACCCCAAGGTAGAACCGAAGAGGTGGAGAGAATATGAGAGCTTGTGAAGATCTAGCTGCTGAGAACTTCTTACCCCCATCCCTCGATCTGCATCAGCTTTCTCTCACATCCTGCATTCTCTCCCTCAGGGTCTTTCTTCCTTTTGTCTAATGACACATTTGCCCCAACTCACATTAATTCAGTTTTGTACACCAAACTGACTTGATTTCAGCCCCTTTGAGGGCTATTTTGTGTCCTTTTAGATTATGTTTCCTGTTTCTGTCTCCTTGTGGAGCTTCCAAAGACTTGTCTTCCTTTATTTATCTATTTAATTTTATTTATTGAATTTTATTTTTGGCCATGCTGCACAGCTTATGGGATCTTAGATTCCCGACCAGGGTTTGAACTCACGTCCTCAGCAGTGAACGTGCGGAGCCCTAACCAGTGGACCACGAGGGAATTCTCTGAATTTTTTAAGCAAAGGCGATGGCGTGCAGTTGGGTAAGTGGGGGCAGTCCTGCTAGGAAACAAGAAGCAGCAGTTACCAGAACTTGTGAACGAGTCGGTGCTGTGGCCGGAGACCAGGAGTGGAGTCAGGAGACCTGGGTCCTAAGCCTGCTTGGCAACAGACCTACAAGCCCCCTGGCCATCACTGACGCCCACGCTCACAGGCCGGGAAAGAAGGCCATAGGCTCTTCCCTGGTGGTCCAGTGGTTAAGAATCTGCCTTCCAATGCAGGGGACACAGGTTCCATCCCCTGTCGGGGAACTAAGATCCCACATGCCACAGGGCAATTAAGCCCGAGAGCCACAGAGGAGACCCAGGGCAGCCCCCCCCAAAAAAAAAAATTGTTGGCCACAGTGTCTTCCTCGAGAATGTTCTTTCAGCCCCTGGCTCAGATTACACT